TTCTCTTTTCTTCTCAGGTCAGGGAGTCCAGATGGTTGAGTTTCAGATTTTTCCATCTTATTTCCCCTTGGGATTGCCTTTGGTGATATGTAAGGCTGGTTTTGAGTTTTGTTTATGTGTCTTCTCATTTCAACCAATGCAGTCTGCTGTGCCTTTATTGAGGTGACTTTTTTCTCTCCCGGTGGGCTTCATTTCTCAACTTGGCTCAGAGAGGCCTTCTCTCTGCGGCTCAACACTGTGCCAATTCCTAGGTTCAGAATGATGGACTTCTGGATCCCTACACTGGGCTGTTTTCCAGGCAGGCTTTTGGCTAGGGCCTTTGTGCATTTAGCAATGGTATCTGGGCAAGCCTCTGGCTGGGACCTACAGGCCTGCAAAGCTGTTTTCCAGGTGGGCCTCTAGATGGGAACTGTGCAACCCAACTTACGGTGTCTGGGCAGGGCCCTTGCTGGGGCCTGCACACTGGGGCTGCTGTTGTCCAGGCAGACTTCTGGCTGGGATCTGCACTGCCAAACCACTGGTGTCTGGGCTGGCTTCTCATTGGGGTCTGGGCACACTTACCAGTGGTATCTGGGTGGGCCTCTGGCTCTAATTTGGCCATATTAACAATATTAATTCTTCTAAGCCATTAACATGGGAAGTCTTTTTATCTTCTAATGTCTTCTACAATTTCTTTCTTCCATGTTTTGTAATTTTCATAGTTGAGGTGTTTTATCTCTTGGGTTAGGCTAATTCCTATATGTTTTTATAGTTATTGTCAATATAATTGCTTATTTGATTTCTTTCTCAGTAGGTTGATATGTACTGATCTATGGGATTGTTGTGGAATTTTCAAGTGTTTCACAATTTAGTTTCTTGGTTACTTCTTTGATGGTGATAAGTATATTTTGATGCAGTGTGCACTTTGTCAGATACTGAGGGTCTCAAAATGCAGGGTCCTTTTATTATCTCAAACAATTGTGTTGTAGAGAGCAGAGTATATGGGGCATACATTCTTCGGTTACCCATCTAGTCTTGTCAAGAATGCATGTTCTAAAAGAGTGTAGAAGTGAGCTGAGGCCCCTTGTGGGTGTGGCATCCCATGGTCCTTGTGTTGTTTTTTCTCTCTGCTCTTGCTGTCTCTGTGGATGTCCAGGAGCAAGTCTTCGGGGCTCACTTGCTGGGCTTACTTAGTGCCTGGTTATTGGCTGGGGTTTTTACTTCCCCAAGTTTTGACTGAAGCTTGATTGAGACAGAGGTGCACATGGGCTAATGTCTGCTGCCTCTTGTCTGCAGTCAGAGTAAAGTTCAGTGGCAATTTGTGTACCTAATGTATGCAAAATGTGGTCCTTAGTGTGCAATAACATATAGAAAAGAACAGTGAATAACATTACCAACAGTAAAAACTAGTGATCACAGTAGGCCAGTGAGACTGAAAGCAAGTTCCAACTGTGACACCCACAATTCTAATAAAAACAGCAGGAATAGTAGGGTCAGCAACTATATGAACTAAACTGTTTTATGAGATTATAAAAATACAGTTAAAAGTAAAGAAAATGGGGGCCAGGGATTTAGCTCAGTGGTGCCGCACCTGCCTGGCAAGTGCAAGGTACTGCGTTTGATCCCAGGTACCAAAAAAGAAAAAAAAAAAAGTAAAGAAAATGGGATGAGGGAAGCAAAAATCAAGTTAAAATGTCTGAAAAATCAAAAGAGAGAAAGTAACAAGAAAAGTAGAAATTAACTCCCTGCCAAAAGTGGGAATATGTAGCTCAATATTGGAGCACCCTTGTCTTTGAACCCCAGTACGACACACGCGCACACACACACACACACACACACACACACACACACACCACCTCCACCACGACCACTTCCAAAACCAAAATAGGATTGAATAAGGAAATAAAATAGAAAGCAAAACCAAAAGAGAGTAATAAAAGTATTTGACTTACTAGGAGTAGCAAAAGAATAATAAAAAATTGTTAAAAAAGAAAAAAATATATATATAGCTATACATGTATATATACATACACACAGAGGGAACTAATCAGCTAATAGAAAAGAATCTTCATAAAAAATGGAAAGGATGTCTCCACTGGGGTGGTCAAATATGGAGGAGAATGGGTACTCCTACCTGCCCATCTGCAATGCTTTCCCTGTCTTCTTGGGCTGTGCACCCTCAGGGAGAGCAAAGCTGGGGTGCTTTACCCCTTTCTCCTTTGGTGCTGCTCTCTGGCAGCTGCCACCTGCAGGCCTGGGATTTCAGCCCATGGCAGTGACTCTGGGCTCCCTGCTTTCCAATGTCAGGTTGTGCAGAGGGGAGGTTCCTAGGCTAGAGGGTGCACTGGACAGAGGAGTTCAGTGCACTTCCAGGGCCATTCTGTGCTGAGCTCCAGGCCTTCATGCCTTGAGACACCCACCTGGGCTGGGGTGGGCGTGGGGGGCGGTGCAAAGGATGAGGACACAGACTCAGACAGTGAGGGTGCAGGAGCTGATCAGATTGAAACCTAGTCTCCATCAAAATAATCTGGCAATAAAATGACACAATTAGGATAGGATTGGCAAGGTAGAAGCAAAATCTTTACATGTAGATGAAATAATCATCTACAGAGAAAATACTAAGAAATCTCTAGGAGCCCCTAGAACTTGTATTTGAATTTAGCAGGATTAGAAAACAAAAGGTGTATATAAAAATTCAGGCCTATGTATACTTGCTATAAATGAAGAATTGTATATTGAAATTTAAAAGTTATGTAGGAGTACAAAGAACCTAGAAAAGTTAAAAAAAAAACCAGTGTTGGAAGATGTTTAGTACCTAATTTTAAGACTTCTTCTAAAGCTACAGTAATCAAGGCAGTGTTGGTGTAAAGAAAGACATAGATCATTTGAATAAAACAGAGAATCTAGAAATAGAACCACACATATATGGTTCACTGAATTTTGAAAGATTATTTAACATTAGCATTTAATAGAATATAAACTCGATTCAAGAACCGAGGAGGAGATAGTGTTTTCAGCAAATGGCACTGGAATACCTGGTATCCGTACATAAAAAATTAACCTCAATCCTTTATTTCCATACATGAAAATAACTTGAAGGGTCTATGAACCTAAATATGAAAGCCTAAAAGTATAAAACTTTAAGAAGCAATTATAAGGGAAAATGTTTACAAAATTAGGGCAGGTCACAACTACCGAGGATACAAAAAACATGATGTATAAAAGAAAAAAATGATAAATGAGATTCCATCAAAATTTAGAACTTTAAATGACATCAGTAAAATGAAAAGTCGTCCTTAAACAGACCATATTTACAATGCATATTACCTATGACCAGAATATATAAAGAACTCTTACAGCTCATTAATAGACAACACAATTAAAAAGTAGGCATAAGAAGATGATAAATAGCCAGTACAGCACAAGGAAAAGTGTACAACTCTAGAATCAGAAAAATACTAATGAGTACAATAACAATATTGAATTATACACTTATTAGGGAGATGAAGTTAACAGTTTTCAAAGTCTTGTCATGACATTTTCTTTTTGTTGGATTCTCCCCCTTTGAGTTTAATTCATCATGCCCAGTGGATTCATTCTGCTGGGCTTCCTGGGGTTGTGATCCTCATTGTCATTTCCTAGGGTATTGTCTAAAATTTTTTGGAGTGCTGGTTGGTATTCATGAAGTTCCCGAGATGCTCTTTATCATGAAAGTATCTTATTTCTCCATCAATTTTGAAAGATAGTTTTGCAAAATCTGGGTCAGAAGCTGTTTTCCTTTAGGGCTTGAAATACATCTCTCCAAGCTCTTCTTGCCTTGAGGGTTTGCATTGAGAAGTGTGCTGTGATTCTGATGGGCTTTCCTTTGTATGTGATTTGTTTCTTTTCTCTCACTGCTTGTAGAATTTTGTTCTTCTGTTGGATTTCTGGAATCCTAAGTATTTTATGCCTATTTGTAGATTTTTTTTTTTTGATCAAGGCTAGCTGGAGTCCTATATACCTTACTTACCTGTATGTCAAGTTCTTTTCCCCTCCTTGGGAAGTTTTCTGCCATCACTTCTGTGAACAGTTTTTTTCTGTCATCTGCACTCTCTCCTGTTTCTTCATTGACTCCAATAAGTCTTATGTTATTCTTCTTTGCGTCGTCTAGCAGCTGCTGGATTGATTTCTCATGGTCCCTTACAATTTTAAAGCAATTTTTCTTTTCCTCCTCACTAATTGCAATCTTATCTTCTATATCTGAAATTCTATCCTCACATTGGTTCCTTTTTCTGTGCAGACTTTTGATGGAGTTTTAATCTCCTGGAAATCTGTTTGCATCTGTTTTATGGATTCCATTTGTTTCCTATGTTGGATTCCATCATATTCCTTGTGTCCTCTCTAGATTTATTAATCATGTCTTGCACCATGAGCAAAACCTTTGCTGTTATCTGAATAATTATTTCTGATTTCATTTTCCCAGATCCTCTTTTGTTGCCAGTTCAGAGAGTCCAGGTGGTTGAGTATCAGATTGTTCCATCTCGTTTCCCTTTGGGGTTGCTGTAGGTGATCCAGAAGTCTGTTTTTGAGGCTTGTTTACGTGTCTTCTCATTTCCACAGCGGGGGCGGGGGGGTGCTTCTGGTGCCCGCGCGGCTCACCCTCTCTGCCCTAGGAGCATGGGATGGTGGCGGGGGAGCTTCCTTCCGAGTGCTGGGACCAGTTCACCTTCTTTGCCCTAGGAGCGTGGGATGGCAGTGGAGGAGCTTCCTTCCAGATGCTGGGACTGGCTCACCTTCTCTGCCCTAGGAGCGTGGTGTGGCAGCGGAGGACCCTCCTTCTGGATGCTGGGACTGGCTCACCTTCTCTCTTAATGAGTAAATTAATATATATATCAATAACATATGAACGTAAATTAGTATAAAATATGCTTGCTATAAAAAGTATTAAAATGTAGAAATTTATAGAAGTAAAAATGCTTCAAGTTATTACTTTCTTTTTTTTCCTTCTTACATACCAGTTTTCCCTTCCAATTTTATTTTAGTTTCCAGATGGTGTAAGTTTGGAAGGATTTTCAGTTATTATAGCACAACTCCTTGGCCTCAACATTGGATTAACGTATGATGACATAAATAATTGTTCATGTCCAAGAGCTACATGCGTAATGAATCATGAATCAGTGTAAGAATTTTTCTTAATTAATTTCACATATACTTTTAGGAGGTTTTTCCAAGATGTGATGAATTTCAAAAATGTTTTATATTGATCAGTATATCACAAATTGGAAAGTTATATTTCATTTGAAGAGATAGTGCACAAAACTTTTTCTATGCGAAACAAGTCTTGAAAGTGATAGATCTTATTATTAAGAATTTTCACTCAAGATAATTAGATAGATAAATTTAAACCTGATGAAAATTATGAAATATCAAGTAAACATATGATACTACTGCTGTATTTTGTTGCAGTCTTTGTTGCTGAGGACAGAGATACCCAGCATCATCTTTAATAATATAACATAAAACTGGCACCTTTGGCCAGTGACTTGAGGAGAGGAAAAGGGAGGAAAAATTTGAAGAGGGAAAAAAGTCCTTAATTTTTACATATTATGATAGTTGACCTAGAAGAATCATTGTACAGTTAGGGCAACAATAATATCAAAAATCCACTAGGCTGGGTGAATCTAGAAAAACCAATAATGTATATACCAGCAGTAAGCAAATGAGATGACTTATTTTACCATTGAAAATTTTTCCAGTAAAGGTTTATAAAGTTAGTATAATCCCAAAAAGAATTTATGTTGTTTTTAAAAGAAATTTGATACGTTCTGTGATAAGTGAGCGGTGGGGTGCTAAATATAGGCACACTTTTGAGCATGATGAGTTGGGATGTGTAGTCAAGGTAAGGATTTTACAGATGGGAGACAGCACACACATCTATAGATGGATAGAAGGGAAGGAAGAGGAGAAAGATAACATCAGACATGAAATTTAAGAGCAAAATCAATGAGTTAATTGTAAAAGATGGAATTGGTGAAAAGTTTTTATTAGGGCTGGGCCATTTATTATGATAGGAAATTAGGAGAGTAAGTGTAAAGGTGGACAGTTTGATTAATGGAGGTGCCAAGTAAAACTGATTTCTTGTGTTTAGAAGCTGAGAGCCAAGAATGTACTGTCTTTGATAGGAGGGGTAAAGCAATTCTCTTGGAGACTGGAAAGTAGAAATGGTTTAGGACATGTGATAAGATTGTTGGGCATTATGAAAAATGTACTTATAATTTATGATAACAAACTCAATTCAATCAGCATGACTCTTTTCTTTGGTTTATTCAATTTCAGCTTCTGAGTTGTATATGCAAAGAAAAGGGAGTTAAGGTTTAGCCAAATTAATACCGATGAGATTCAGAAAAAGAGCTGTAATGGATTGTGTTTTCTCCTGAAATAAGTGTATTTCATTTGTTTTCCTTCCACAAATTTGGAACTATGTGTGAAAACTCAATGTATTTTTCCCACCTTATTTCAACTGTAGGCAAAGATGGTCATACTCCCCTCAGAAAGTGAATCACTTAACGTTTAAATTGTGTTGTGCCTATCAAAGTTACATATATCTAAGTATCAGTATGTAGTCATGTGCACATGACTATCCGTTAACAACAGGCCTTGTATATATAACTGTATTGCTATAGGATTATGTCACCAGGGACCTTAGTTTGTGTGAATGCAAACACTAACTACTGTTAACTATGACATTTGCACAATGACAAAATTACCTAGTGATGCCTTTCTCAGAATGCACCCTGTTGTTAAATGCTGCATGGCCATAATGTCTTCTTCACTCATCACAATAATCTTGTGTCTTCAGCCATGTGCTGTTACAAACAACAGTACCACAGGCAGGGTGAGTTTTACAGAAAAGAGCTTTATTTTGGCTCTCAGTTCTGGTCCAAGTTCAAGGGGTCACATCTGTGGGTGGCCTTCACACTGGCCATTGCAGTCTTGAGGCCATCAGGGTGTTCATGGCAAGAGAAAGGGAGTGAGTGCACCTCCTTTGGTCTTTCCCATTCTTCGCCAGTATTCAATCACGATGGCTGCACTCTGCTTGGTAGCTGACTCTGTCTAATCTTATCACCTCTCAAGAGGTCAATTTCAAATCAGATTCAATTTCTACCTGCTTTATACCTTGCACTGGGGGTTAAATCCCATGCATTTCCTAGGGTACAAATAATAGACCATTGTAGATAACAAGAAATGCATTTTTAAAAAAATGTTAATCAGTTTTAAAATTTTAGTCAATCAATTTAATCTGTTAATGTACAAGTGTTTTTTATTTAAGTTACATGATTCATATGATTTATGTGTGGAACAATGTTTAGATTTTTTTTAGCAAGTTTTATTTACCTGAGAAATATTGCATTTTAGGAGTTCCAGTGGTATCAAGATTTTTAGTAACTGTAGCATGCATGAATATAGGCATTTTGTTTCAAAAATTGAGGCAGATTGACTTCACAACCTTTCAAATTTTCAACTTCTGTATCAAACTCAACCATTGGCTGGCAGTGGGATTTTGGAATCTAATGAAGAATATGACTGTGGTTACAAAGAGGTAAGTGAAGAATGTTGAAATACGAGCACAATTTTTACAACTCTAATAAAACATGCTTGTCAATGGAATTATATATGTAACTTTGTCTTACATTTATAACTGAGACATAAGAATGAGCATAAGTTAAAGGAATCACTTCCCCATACCTCTTGAACTGAGAAGATCAATGTAGCCTGAAGTCCTGGTTTGCATAGCTACTTCAAATCACCCTTGGAAATACATTTTGAATATATCAGGTAAATTAAATCCTTTTCAGCCATGATTCAGTTTCTAACTTATATGATCTTATTCTGTATTTTTTTCTACACAAACTTCTGCAAATGTTTTTCCAAAACTTTCCCTGTCCCTTGTGGTTGCAACAATTTCTAGACATCCTAATAGGTTTTCTTTAGTCATTCTCAAACATTGCTGCAATTATAAAGTCTTGGATGGTGAAGAAGCTTTTTCAGTTTGCTCATTTCTAAATATAGATATTCAAACAAATTTTCAATACTCTCCTCTCAACCAGAAAGCCCATGTATTTAGTCTCTTGTAAATATTGTTGGTGTGTATTTAATGACTCCCTTCTATTTAAGTAAAATAAAGAATCTTCATGATTCCCCCTAGCAGTACATAAATTATTTCCTTTGACAAAAACAGATGAGTACCACATAGTTATGTACCACTAAATGCTTACAAGTTCTCTCAGGCATCTGCCACTGCACACAGTAAAATCTGATATGAATGAATGTCCTGGTGCACATGTGTGCATGTGTGTATATGTAGAATCCATATATGTATGGTTTCCAGCTAGCATGAACTTCTCAAAGCTGTCTTATTTTGCTGATATGCATTGCTATGCTCATCTTGGATTCTCCTGCCCCTAGATATGTTGCCATCTCTTTGTCGATAAATCCTGCTTTTAAAATGAAAGACAGAATAAAACAACACAGTCTGAATAGATCTGCACCCTGTGAGTTTCTACAACCAGAGGCTGTACCCAGACTGTCACATAGAAGATCCCTCCAGTGCCTCATCAGTATCTTCTTCACAGTAACTGTTGCCACAGTGTATTTTTAATCTTTATTTTTTTATTGGTACGTATTTGCTGTCCATAATGATCACATTCAAGTGAGGAATTTCTACCTGTACATATTATATCTTAATTCATTTTTTCCTATTCTCTTCCCCTCCCTTCAGCCCTTCTTCCTATCTCCATTTACAAAAGCTTTGTTTCCATTTTTCTTTCCATTCTCTCTTATTTTTTAAAATCCTTTATCCCTTCCCACACTTCCCTTTTCCCCTTCCCTTCCCATTTGAACAAGCCCTTCCTACTTCCTTATATCTGTCCTCCATTTTGCTTCTTATTTACACTTTGGGTTTCTCACATAAGAGAAACAATGTGATAGTTACACTTGTGTGTCTAATTTATTTCAATTAAGATTATGGTCTCAAAATGCATCTATTTATCAAAAAATGTCTCAATTTTATCCTTCTTTATAACAGAGTAGTGCTCCATTGTATATAAATATCACATTTTCTTTATCCATTTGTCTGTTGGTGGGCATATGGGCTGTTTCCAAGATTTAGCTATTATAAATTGTGCTCCTGTAAACAAAAGTATGCATGTATCACTGTGGTATGACGCTTTAGCTCTTTCAGAAAGATATCTAGAAGAGGAATAGTTGGGTGAAATGGCTACTTTTCCCATTGCTGAGACAAAATACCCAGTACCCAAAGTTAAAGGAGGAAAGGTTTATTTGACTAACAGTTTGAAGAGGTTTCATTCCATGGTTGGCAATTTTAAAGGCAGGGTAGCAGGGAGAGGAGCATCACAGAGGAAAAATGTTTGGGGAATGGCAGGAAAAAGGCAACAAAACAGCAGTAGCATCCTGTTTTTATATTTAATTCAGATTACAAGAGTATTTAGGGTTGTGCCACACACACACACAGTGTGGGGCACCCTTAATTGCAGCATCATACCCTTAATCTATATTCACACACCATAGATTGATCATCTTTTGTGTAGAAGACCCAAAAAAATTGCACCAAAACCCTTTCAAAGCTAATAAACTAATTCAGCAAGATAGTAGGATACAAAATCAACACAAAAGTCAGTAGTGTTCCTGGACACCAAAAATGAACCAGAGAGAAAAAAGTTAGGAAAACAATACCATTTATAATAGCTTCAGGAAACTCTGACTATTTAGAAATTAACCTAACAAAGGAAGTGAAAGAGCTGTATAGCAAAAATTATGGTACTCTAAAAAAGGAGATCCAAGAGCCATCAGAAAGTAAAAGACTTACCTTGTTCCTGGATAGGCAGAACCAATATTGTCAAAATGGCCATAATTCCAAAATTGATATATAGACTTAGTGTAATCCCAATTGAAATACCAACATTCCTCATAGAACTAAAGAAAACAATCTTAAAATTCACGTTGAACCAGAAAAGACCAAGAATAGCAAAAGCAATGCTGGGTGACAAAAGCAAATCAGGAAGCCTTGCAATTCCAGATTTCAAGTTATATTACAAAGATATAGCAGTAAAAGTAGCATGGTACTGGTGCAAAATCAGACACATGGATCAGGGGAACAGAACAGAGGATGCAGAAAAAACCTCAGGCACATTCAGCTGTCTGATCTTTTACAAAGGGGTCAAAAGCATCTGTTGAGGAAAGGTAGCCTCTTTAACAAATGGTGCTGGGAAAACTTGATATCTACATGCAGGAGATTGAATTTACATTCATAACTCTCACCATGCACTAAACTAAAATGAAAAAGGATCAAAGATTTAAATAATAAAAAATAAACATTTATCCTAATGGAAGATAAAGTAGGTAAAACTTTTTAAGACATAAGCATCACCAAGGAACATCTAAACAGAGCCGCAACTTCACAGGAAGTAATAAGAATCAATAAATGAATTATATAAAATTAAGAAGCTTCTGCACTGCGAAAGATACCACCAAGAGAAGAGACAATCTATGAAATAGGAAAACAATTTACCAACTATTCCTCAGACAGAGACTAATACCTAGAATATATAATGAAGTCAAAAAATTAGAGCCCCCCCAAAAATAAAAGACCCAATGAAAAACTGAGCAACAGAACTAAACAGACACTTCTCAGAAAATTAAGTATGAATGACCAATGTACATGAAAAAATGTTCAACATCTCTGGCCATTAGAGAAATGGTAATAAAACAACACTGAGATTCCCATCTTACTGCAGAAATAGTGGCTAATACTGAGAAATCAAATATTGAATGCTGGCAATGCCAGGGATTTAGCTCAGTGGTTCTGCTGCCTGCCTTGCAAGCGCAAGGTCCTGAGTTTGATTCCCGGTACCAAAAAAACCAGAAAAAAAAAACCCCAAGCAAAGAAAAAAGAAAGAAAGAAATAACAAATGCTGGCAAGGATTCAGGGAAAGAGGAGTCCTTCTGCATTGTTGGGAATGTAAACTAGTACAACCACCATGGAAATCAGTATGGAGATTCCTCAAAAATTTTGACACAGTTATTCTTTTAGGTATCTTCCCAAAAGAGTTACAGACTTCATAGTTCAATGGTAACTACATACTAATGTTGGTAGCTGTACAATAAAACATCTAAATCTTTTAAGTGGCCTATATGTGAATAAGTGAATCGATAAAGAAAATGTAATGTTTTATTTTATTTTTTGTGTTTTGGTACCAGGGATCGAACTCAGGACCTTGCGCTTGCGAGGCAGGAGCGGTGCCACTGAGCTAAATCCCTGGCCCATGAAAATGTAATGTTTGTACAGAATGGAGTATTCCTCTGCTATATAAAAGAATAAATTTGAAACATTTTAGGAAAATGGATGGACCTTGAGACCATAATGTTAAGTGAAATGAAACACACAAGCTTAAATATTATGGGTTTCTGTTACATGAGAAACCTAAAGTATAAATAAACTAAAGAGCAAGATATAAGATAGATAATAGGAAACAGGAAGATAGATCTTTTGCAAATGGAAAGAGGACCAAGAGATGGACAGATGGGGGAGGTAGAGGAGGAGAAGGATTGTAGAAAGAACATGTGTTTGGGCTGGGGATTTAGCTCAGTGGTGCCACCACCTGTCTTGCAAGTGTAAGGTCCTCAGTTCAATCCCTGGTACCAAAAAAAAACACTTGGAACAAGATTTTGAAAATGAATTTGTTGCCAGATAGACCATAATATGTACTTATTGCTAGTTTTGGACATTTGAATAGATGCACTTTAGAAACTTAAGTTCTAGATTTCTATTAGTTTCATTGGCTTTGCAGTGGCCCCCATGAAGGAGGAAAGCTGCCTCACATGGCCTGGGGCTCAGAACCACCTGAGACAGACAATTTGCAAGATTATGCTTCCTCTTTGGAAGCTCTGATCTGATCTTGCTTCATTGTCCCTAGAACACTAATTTGTGTCAAATGTAAGGGTCACTAAGTGAGGAGATATTTTAGTTGTGGAATAAAGGATTATTTTTAAACCTGTGGAATTTTGACACTGTCCATGGACAAGAGTATGGAGAACATGCCAGGATGGATGTTAATGATGCTGACTCCAAGTTGTTAAACTATAAGCCTGGATGGGGATGCTTGCTGGTGAATGAGGATTTCAAACCTTGGAGAGAAAATCTAGAGCCAGCCTTAAGGTGTTGCTGAATGGGTACTTGAAGATGGAATCAATCTGGCCTACATTCAATAAGGAGGCCATCCTGAGTTAACCTTGGAAGTGTTGTAAGGGAAGGGTAACAATTCTGAACAGTGGCCTCTGTGAAATCACAAAAATGTTGAAAATATCAGCAGATGTCTTCTATACACTAGGTCCCTTCACTGGAGCTCTTATTATGGAGATGATCTCTCCCTGATGTCACTGAGGTCCTTGGATTCCAGAGCTGCAGAGGTCAAGTGGGAGCATTTAATTAGTGTATTGTGAAGCAAGGCACAAATGGCAGCTGGCAGTGTTGACCTGCGTAGATTTATACACATGGCTAGATGTGGGTAGTCAGTCATGATATTGTGCCATGTTTCATATGCAATTAAACTTAATAAAGGTGAATGCAGGACTGGTGGCAGCTGCTGTCAATGAAAAATCACAATCCATTGCCAAATTTGTCAGAGCCTCAGCTCTTTGTTTACATAGAAGATGTATGCTCTATGATGCTCCAGCAAGGATAAAAAGTAGCATTTCCTCAAGCATTCTTCCTCCCCCTGAAGTCCCTGCTGCCCTTTACTAGAACAGGATGAATTATATACAGATCATTGCAGGTGAATTGGATACAAATCTGAGCTCACAGGGTATGATGCATCAGAGAACTCAAAACACCATCACATTTCCCATAGCAGTACACAGAGTCTGGGTGACTCCTAAAGTCTCATAAGAATCCATCTGACAATGGGCCAAATGGACTTATGATCCTCCTCCATTATCATTTCACAAGTCCTTTAGTGGCAGCTCAGAGTGGATGTACTATGACGTCAACAGACCCTCACATTGGTTCCCTCTCCTGTGTAATTATAGCTTTAAAGACAGTAAAGGCCAAATGGAAACACCTGGAATCACCAGGCTAGAAATCAAAAGTAATATGTCCTGGATAAAAAAATAAAAAAAGAAATTAGTGAGTAATTTGAACTACATACAAATGAAGTGTTAACCAAGACATTACAAAAATATTGTATACAGAACCTATGCTACCAGCTGTGACATCAGAGGCCTCTGACACGGTCATGGTCAGCACAGATTCTGGATCCAGTCATCTTGCAAACAAACATATGTGCTTTGGAAAATCAATTAAGGACCAGAGAAGACACTCCTAACAATATTAAAGTAACAAAAGACACATGAATAACACTGTTTTTCACTATACTTCTTATATTTTAACCTTCTTCATAATCATAATCATTAAAAAGCAAATCCCAGCAAGACAATCAAAGAATGTATGTTTCTGCTAGAAATCCATATTTTCCCCTCCTTGGAGTATATTTCCATATTAATAATTTTTTAGTTAATTCTCTAATATTTTATCTTGTAAATATTACTAATTTACATGCTATTCCCTTTGTTCTTATAGTTACATATACCTTTGAATATTCCAAAAACAATAAAAGAGTAAAGCTTCAATGAATATAATATTATCTTATTAAATAAATTGACATTAGTGTTAAATTGAAGTTATGATTAAGAAATAAGACTTCTTAAGTGCTTGAACTGGAATATCATGATTTCTTCTTTTGATATTTTAGGAATGTCAATTTAAAAATTGCTGTGATTTTAGAACATGTAAGCTGAAAGGCTCAGCAGAATGTGGTTCAGGACCATGTTGCAGATCAAACTGTGAGGTAAATTTCTGACATTTGTGAAAAGAAAACTGAACTGTGAGAATAGAAGGCTGTATTTACTGACTCAATGTGTAATTGACAAAAAAGAATGAAGAAACAATTCAATGAGATAAAGTACAGAACACATAAGCAAATAAAACTGTATAAAGATTGTTACTATGAAATAAAGAAGGGATCTCAAATTGATACTGCTGATTCTACAGTGTTGAAAACACAAATTGTAACATCTTATAAGTTATTCTTATTAGTGATGTAGAATAGTGAAGTTCATTTGGGGAATTTGGTTCAACATCAATACGCTCCCACTCTAACTTTTTGTAGTTAACTTGTACCTCTACTAACATCTCCTGCTTTCAGCCTCTATGATTTTAGTTTTATAACAACATCACATAAATTGAATCATATAATATGTATAAACATATGAATTAGGCATAAAGCATTTGAGATTCACTCATATTGTGGTGTTTAACTACGAATTCCTTGTTCATTGCTAAATAGTATTGGAAGTATTATAACTACATACTACAGTTTATTAATCCACTCCCTAGTTGGGGGATATTTGAGTCATTTTCAGTTTGGGGAAATGTTTTAGTTATTTTTTCATTGTTTAATCACAATACCTGGCACCCAAAAATTAATGGAGGAAAGGTTTATACAGCTTTGAATCCAAGTAATACAGAAAATTGTTTCTAAAATGCAATGATTTGACAGGTATATATGTACTCATCACAAGAGGGAAAAATGAGGAAGAAATGGGCAACTGGTGCTGAGCACCGAATTCAACAGAACAATGTTAAAACTTTGGGTTGGAGAATAATCTTATTTGATGTGATGGAACATCTTTCAGACACCTCAGAAAGGGTTAGGACACCCAAAGGCTCTGGGAAGTTGCATCCATGTGCATTTCTGGACAGTGCCACCCCAGCTCTCATGGATGGCAGCTGTGTGTCTAAGGTTCTCCCATGATGGAGTTGCACCCTAATTTGATATCCAGGGCTCTCTACAGTAGCCTGCCACCCATGGCTCCATTGGACCTTGATATCCAGTGGTATCAAGGATAGATTCTGTTGCTGGTGCTTTTTTTTTAACATATTTTCTGTAGTAGCTTTCAAAAAATCATCAATAGACATTTTTCAGGGTAGTTTCTGGTTTGGAGAAAAATAATTGCCATATAAATACAGCTATCACATATAACCTCTCTCACATATACCCTACCCTGGTTTTACCTATCATTTATGTCTTGCCATAGTGTGATACATTTGCTATAATTCAGATGTCATTTTCTATACAGTGTTAACTAGAATACATAGTTTATACAAGGGTAAACTCTTTCTTGTATATACAATGGCATATATCCATTAATATAATAACAGAGAAGAGCTTCGTTGCTCTACTAAAAATGCCCTGTGAGCCATATTTTCTTTTCTCTCCACCTTCTCAAGCTCCTAGAACCCAGTGACCTTTTCACTATCTCTGGATGACATTCATCTAGGTTTCTTCCACATCCTGGCTTCCTAGTGCATTTCCTGTTGTCACTGAATAGTATTTCACTATGCATCATAGCTTGTCCTTTTATGTACTGAAAGACATTTCTGTTTCTTCAAATCTTGGGCAGCTATGAATAAAGCTGCTATAAACATTCAGGCACAAGGTTTTGTGTGGGCATGTTTTCAAATCAGTTGGTTAAATACAAAGAAACAAAATTACTGGTTTGTGTGTAGGGGAAAAACATGCTTACTATTGTAAGAAATTACCAAATGTTTTTCAAAGTGACTACACTACTTTGCATTCCTACCAACAATGGATGAGAGCTCCTGTTGTTTTATGTCTTCACCAACATATGGTGTTTCCAGTGTTTTTTACTATAACTATCCTAAGTACTGTTTAATAGCATTATGATTTGGGTTTGAAATATATTCCCAAAAGCTCACATATTGAATTATTGGTATGCAGTACAACAATATTCAGAGATTGGACTGATAATAACTGACTGGATCACCTCACCTCATAAATGGATTAATCCTTTATGGGTTCATAATTTGGTAGGATTCTAGAAGTTGTTGGAAACTTAATTGGTGTGACCTAATTAAAGAAATGTGTCTTTAAGTACATCCTTGGGGACTATAACTTGTCCCCAGCACTTTCATCTCTGTCTCTGCTTCCCAGCTGACATGAGCTGAGCTCCTTTGCTCCACCATTTCCCCCTCCCCTTGTGTTCTCCCTTGCATCAGGCCCATAGTGATGGAGCCACGCAACCACAGACTGAATCCTCAGAAGTCCTTTGCTAACATAAATCTTTCTTTCTTCATTTTATTTTCTCAGGCTTTTTGTCAAAGCAGTGGAAAACTAATACAAGTAATAGCTCATTATTATTTTAATTTGCAACATCCTAATGATACATGACGCTGAGCACCATTTTGTGTTTGTTTGCCATGTGTGTATCTTTCTAACATATAGTGTATTAGACAAGTCTGAGAAGCCAATGTATAACAGATCAGTCTCTCTTGATCATTTGTCCATGTTTTAAAATTTGGTTGTGTTTGTTTTTGAGTTTTAAGAATTCTTTGTGTATTTTGGACTAGCCTTTGTTGGATATTCACTTTGCAAGTACTTTCTGTCAGTATGTAGCTATTGTTTCCTTCTCTTGACAGTGTTTTTCACAGAGAAGAAGTAATTAATTTTAATCAAGCCCATTTTTTTCTTTCATACTTTCGATTTTCAAAAAGTCATCATCAAAACCAAGGCCACCAAGATTTCCTTCTATGTTGTCTCATAGGAATTTGATAGCTTTTCCTTGTACATTTAAAGCTATAATTCATTTTGAATTAATTTTTAAGAAAGGTATAGGTTTCATTGTTAGCATGTCAAAATCCAGCACTGTTTCTGAGAAGACTGTACTTTGCTCATTAAATTCCCCTTACTTCTTAAAGAGCAGCTGCATATATGTATTCGAATCTAATACTGGGTTATCTCTTCTGTTCTATGGTCTTATTTTTAAATTCTATTTCTAATACTATACTTTTGTGATTATTGTAGCTTTATAGTACATCTTAATGTTGGGTCGACAAAGGGATCCATCTATGTTCTTCTTCAAGAGTTTTTATTGGCTGTTCTAAGTCTCCTGTCTTTACATATATACTTTTGTTGGCAAGACCACTTCATTAATATCCATCAAGTAAATTAACTGAGTTTTTAATTGGGACTGTGTTGATAAGTGGTATTGTATTTTTAACTCCAATTGTTCATTGCTGTATATAATAAGTGATGTATGCACATTAACCTTGCATGATGTAGCCTTGCCATAATCACTTGTTAGTTGTAGGACTTTTTTCTTGGTAAATTCTTTGAAATTAAACACATAGACAATCATATATCTAAGAAAAAAACAATGTTTTATTTCTTTCTTTCTCATTTTCTTGTTTCTGTTTCCTTTTCTTGTCTTATTTGATTTCCTAGAAGTCCTAGTTCAGTGCTGTCAAGAAGTGGTGAAAGTAGTGCTCTTCCTTGTCTTCTAATATTATCAGGAAAGCCTATGAATTTTTACAACATAATGTTAGCTGCAGAGTGGTTTTTGTTTTTGTTCTCTTTGTTTATTTGTAGATGTTCTTTCTCAATTTGTGGAATTTCTCTCTAGGTCCCTGATTCTCTGACATTTTTTATTATGCACAACACATTTTATGAAATGCTTTATCTCTCTATCTTCATACAGTTGCATGACTTTTTCATCTTTAGATTATTGATGATAGGTTACATTGATTGCTTCTTGAGTCAAAAATCTGTCTTGTATACTGATAATAAATGGCATTTGATTGTGATAATATTCCTTTTAAAAATCATTGAATTTACTTTCCTAATATTTTTGAGAATTCCTTCAATGTATTTGGAATAATATTGGTCTGGACTTTTCCTTTTATGTAATACATTTGTCTGGTTTTGGAATTAGGGTAATGCTAATTCAATAGGATGGTTTTGGAAGTATTCTTTATGTTTATATTTTCTGACAGTGGCTGCCAATAAATTAGTATAATTTTTCCCTTAAGTATTTGGTCAGAGAACACAAATGAACCAAGTGCTTTCAGCTTTAGGTTATTAATTGTTAAGTTAATTTTGTTAATACACTTAGGGCTATTCAGATTAACTGTTTTGTGTAAGATTATTCAGATTAACTGTTTTGTGTAAGATTTCCTAGTCTTTTTTTATTTCAAGAAATTGGTCCATTTCTCTTAGGTTATCAATTTTTGAACATAGAGCTACTCAAAAAAATTTTTTATTATCCATGGATCAATAGTGATAGCATTTCTTTCATTTCTGATGTTAGTGATTTTGGTTTCTCTATTTTTGTTCTCAGTTGGTCTGGGTAAAGTCCAGTCTCTTTTATTGATTACTGTATATTTCTACAAAATATACCTACAGTAACCCTTTTCAAAATGCCTATGATCTAATGGAAATGTCCAAATTTTGAAAGGCAAAATAGATCATATGATATTGATATAAAAATGTGCCACAGCTAACTGCATAAATAAAATATAATTGTGCACAACATAATGTTCTGTATCAGAACACAAACTGATATTCCTAATCATTCCATATATAAAAAGTCAAATTTGGGAACAAAATATCTATGGTTTCTGGAATAAGGATAGTGACTACTTTAATGGATAGTGTAATTAAATAGTGTATAAATAAGCCTTTAGGACACTGATGACATAATATTGCTTCCTATAAATTCTCATTAGGTAGTCATGTTTTTCTCTTTGAAAACTAATTCATAATTTGCTCGATATTTTGTTTTACCACTCAATAACATATTTCCTAATAAAGTCATTTACCACAACAGAAAAAGCAAAGGAGTCAATATTGCATCTGATATTTAAAAATAATTCAAATAATTATAAAACACTCAAAATTTAGATGTTACTGACAAAGTTGTTGGAAAACTTCAAATGAGAAAACCTACATTAGAAAAATAGAATTAATGAATAGCCTTATGACTTCGAAAACTGTCTTAAATTATTTGCCTTATCACAAAGAAAATAGATGAAATTTCTCCCACAACAAATTCTACTATAATTCTAACATGATTCTACCATTTCTTCTAAAAGAAGAAATCAAATCAGTATATGAAAAAGTAATTTATTACAGGTTTCCAGTTTCTAATCTGACATGTAAGGGGCTTGGAAGTCATCACAGCCATCTTTATAACAGGAAAAAAAATCAAATAAACTGATCACAGACAACTCTTTCTAGAGCCATCAGAGAACTGAGCTGACAAGGCCAACTGCTACCCTTCAAATTGGAGACAACCAGGCAGATTTAGAGAATGACAACTTCATGTAGCAGACATCTTAAGACAAAAACCACTGCAAGAATCATTACTGGAACAGGAAAACCTATGCTACAGGTGCTGGATCACTGGATCCCTGCGTGGACAAGTTCCAGAGTAGAAAGAAAATCCAGAGGGGCCTGGCATTAGTGAGTTCGCTACACTTTCATGGGTGTCACCACCTGGAGACTGACCAGGCTCTCTCAGTGAGCACTGGACAACACTCCCCTTCATCCCACCACATTTCCTACATGGGTAGAGAAATTTGGCATCTAAAATCTCAGAGAATTCTGTTTTACTTAATGAAGCTTAACTGAACAAAGATTATTTCATCAAGGCCTAAGTGACAAATTTAACTGATGCTTACTTGAATAAAGACAAGCACCCAACTCCAGCATTCTCTAACTTTCAGAAGGAAGGAAAGCAGCCATCCAGCTTAAGTCCACTCCAGCATTTCATCTGAGGGAAGATAAATGCCCACATCTAGCTCCCTTGAAACTGGTGTGTAGGGTAAAGAAAATCTTTAATTTCAGATGCAGCTAGACTTCCTAAGTCATGTAATGAAAGTTGGCTGGAAAATTTCTGCAAATGTTATGTCATAGGGGCATCAGCTCACTGAGTATAGGACTATAGAACACCTCTCTGCTTCCCATATTTTCCCACCAGAACAATAAAAGCATGATACAAATGAAAAATCTTCATGCCTCAGACATTATTTAAGATGTTTCTAGGGAACCTCAAAGATAATAGAAGAAATGAAAAAGGACAATGGAAGAAATTGTAGCTTCTTTTTAAAATTAATTATATTAACACTTTTTTGACATACATAATGAGCAAATTCATCATAGAGAATTTGTACCTGTACATAATATATCTTTATTCTTCTTTTTCCCCCCTCCCCTCCCTTTAATCTTTCTTCCTCCCTTATTTAAAAAAGCTTTATTTCCATTTTTTTCCTTTTCCCCTCCTTCCCTTCCCTCTTCCTCTCCTTTGTTTCCCTTCCCATTTGAACATTTTATACCTACTTCTCAATATCTGTCATCCTTTTTGGTCCTTATTTATGCTTTCACTTTCTCACACAAGAGAAACAATGCAATATTTAAACTTGTGTGCATGATTTATTTCACTTAAAAATATTGTCTTGGGCCGGGGATTTAGCTTAGTGGTTCTGCCGCGTGCCTTGCAAGCAAGGTCTCAAGTTCAATTCCCAGTACCAAAAAAATAAACAAAACAAATAAACAAAAGTGGTCTCAAGGTACATTCATTTACCTAAAATTGACTCAAATTTATCCTTTATGGCAGAGTAGTATTCTACTGTATACAAAAAAACACATTTTCTTTTTGTTAATGGACATCTGGGGAGTCTTTAGGCTTCTGCTGTATTTCTCTTCATTTATATCTCTGTTTTTGCCTTATCCCCTATAAATCCCACCCTCCATGCACACACACACCAGGCAAAATCACTCTACTAAAGAAAAACTCATTGCATACAAGTTCCTGCTTCATGTTGGATTTTGTTATATAACTATAGACCTTTCTCCTATGGTTAAAGGTACCAAATTAAAGTCATCAAAGCTTGTCAGTTTCTGGGCTGTGCTTGATGCTATTGTTATTGCTAATTGCACTACTTTAGCCAGGGTGTCATACTTGTTGTAATCAGTTGTCCTCCTTTGTATGAAAACAGTGTGATTTTCTGGAGTCATAATCATTACCATAGTCCAGGACCAAAGGACTGGGTGCTGGGCCAAATAGATAGCAACCTCTCATCTCTACTAAATTGGGAAAGTGGGATCTTGGGACAGGCTCAAATGCCAAGAGCCAGCTACACCCAGAAAACATCTCTGAGTCATTTGCTTGGGTGACTTCATTACCTACCACGAGCAATTTACAAGCATTAACACAGAAAACAAATTTAAAAGATAGAAAATAACAAGATGCAGAAGCAAAAGGCAACCCCAGACCTCCAGGCCACCTAGGGCAAGTCCAGAGACAATAAGATGGAGGAAATCTGAAGCCATCCAGCCAAATTTTCTAAAATGGTAGCAGTGAAAGTAACAAAACAGATTAATAAGGCTATAGGGAAAATCTGATCAGAAATACTCAGTAAAAAGAGATGATGATCATAATGAAGGACTTGTTCAGTGAATCCAGAGTAGACACGGATAAAAAAAATACAAGAGCTTAGGAAAATGATAGAAACCATGAATGCACAACATGGGAAAGAAATGGAACCCATGAAACAGATTAAAACAAGTATCCAGGAGATTAAAAAATCTATTGGAACTCTGTGCAGCAGAATGAATCAAAGTGAGGACTGAATATCAGGTCTAGAAGACAAGATTGTGATTAGTGATAATGAAAAGAAAGATTTCTTAAAAACAGCAAAGGACCATGAAAAATCAATATAGCAGCTGCTAGATGATGCAAAGAAGAACAACAGAAGATTGATCAGAGTCAACAAAAAACCAGGAGACTGTACAAATAACATAAAAAAACCTGTTCACTGGCAGAAAATTTCCCAAGCATTTTTCGAATGACCACTGATGTTGAACATTTTTTCATATATTAATCTGCTGTTTCTACTTCATCTGAAAAATGTCTATTCATTTCAGGTGCCCATTTTTGGATTGAGTCTTTAAATTTAGGATGTCTGATTTTTTTGTTTTGTTTTTCTATATTCTAGATATTAGTCCTTTGTCTGAGGAGTAGCTGGTAAACTTTTTTCCTATTCTCTTGGTTGTCTTCCCTCTGTTAGTGGTTTTGATTACTGTGCAAAACCTCTTTAATATGATGAGATCCTAGTTGTTGATTCTTTTTAATATATCCTCTGTATTGAAGGTTTTGTTCATAAAGTCTGCCTATACCTATGTCTTCAAGAGTTTTACTTGTTTTATCTTCCAGCAGATTGTGGCCCTGTTTTAATATTTAGATTTTTTACCATTTTCTGCCAGAGATTCCTAAAGTAAGTCTCTAGTCCCCACCTGCCCACTGTGTGATGCAAGACTGAAGAAAAATTTAAGACATGGTTAAGAGAAAGTGTAAACTGGGGTGGCCAAATGCTCCTTTGTCCAAAGGCACTGGCCTGTCTCTTCCACCAAATTTTATTATTCATCAATTAGGGTAAAAGCTGCATGTATAGATGTCCATTATGTGAAATTACCATGGAAACCAATGCAGGCAAGGCTTTAAAGAGCAGTCAATGCATTTTCAAATTAGAAGCAAGATAGACAAAATATATGGTTGTAATTAGAGCATTGTCCTTCAAGCTATGAAGGCACTAATTGTGGGAATATAATTTGGGTGCAATTATCTCATATTAGCCCCACAGTTTCAGAAGCGATTACTCTAGTCTCGGCTCTGGCTGTTAGTGGGAAGGTCATATTAACCTGCGTGCTACCGCAGTGCTTGAGATACTTCTGTGAGTCATGTAGCTTCAGTCAGATTCACTTCTTAAAGTAAGCCAATTGAAGGATTTAACTGTTTTCAGCCTGCACTGCTCAAAGCATGTTTTGGGCATTATCAATATTGCAGGCTCTGACAATTTTCAATTTTAGTTTGGTGCATGGTGAGCGATATGGGTTTAGGTTTAATCTTTGGCATGTGGAGAGCCAGTACCTTTTATTAAAGAGGCTATCTTTCTTCCAGTGAAGGTGTTTGGCCATTTTCTCAAAGACAAGTTGGTTGAGTGTATTTGGAATTGTCTCTGCATCTTCTAATCTGTACCATTGAGCTTTAGGTCTTTTTTTCTTTTCTTGCCAGTGCCATGCTGTTTTTATTGTGGTAGCTTTGTAGTATAATTCCAAGTTGGAGATTGTAATGCCTCCTGCCTTGCCTTGCTGTCCAGAATTGCCTTTGCTATACTAGGTCTCTTCTGGTTTCAAATGAATTTTAGGACTGTTTTCTCTAATTCTGTGAGATATATTATTGGTATTTTGATTTGGATTGCATTAAATCTGTATCACAATTTTGGGAGTGCGGACATTTTCACTTGGTTCTGCCTATCCAAGAACAAGGGATATCTTTTCATTTTCAGGTGTCCTCTTTGATCTCCTTTTTCAGAGTACTGTAGTTTTCAATGTAAAGGTCTTTCACTTCATTAGATTGATGCCTATGTATTTCATTTTACTTGATGTTATTGTGAATGATGTGTTTTCCCTAATTTCTCTCAATGAGTTTGTTATTTCTGTACGAGAATGCCTTTGATTTTTGAGTGTTTAGTTTGTATCCTGCTATGATACAAATTTGATTATTAAATCTAGAAGTCTTTTGGTGGAGTTCTTGGGGTCTTCTATGTAGAATATTATATCATTTGCAAATAATGATAATTTAACTTCTTCCTTTACCATCCTTATTCCATTTATGTTTTTCTCTTGTCTAATTTCTCTGGCTAATGTTTCCAAAACTATTTTGAGCAGGAGTGGTGATAGTGGGCATTCTTGACTTATTCCTAAATTTAGTATGAAAGTTTCCAGTTCTTGACCATTAAATATGATGTTGGCTATGGTTTGTCATCAATGGCTTTTATTAGATTGAGATACCACCTCTTATTTAAATTTTCTGTAGAGTTTTTATCATGAATGGGTGTTGGGCTCTGTCAAATGCTTTCTCTGCATCTGTTGAAATGATCATGCGGTTTTTGTCCCTGCTTCTGTTAATGTAGTGTATTATATTTCTTGTTTGCATATGTTGAACAATCCCTGCATCCCTGGGATTAACTCCACTTGGTCATGGTGTATAATCTTCTTGATGATTTTTTGCATTCTGTTTGGCAGTATTTTATTGAGGATTGTTGCACCTATGTTCATTAAGGAGATTAGCCTGTAGTTCTCTTTTTTGGTTGAATCCTTCTGTGGAAATTGTAGCTTCTGACTCAAATGTCAGCAAGAAACAATAAAAATGCACTAAATTCTAGCCAGATAAACACAAAACTTCACACAATTCACTTTCCTTTACTCATTATACCATGCTTGGCTTTCAACAGTAAATTACAGGGCACAGTAAAGAATGAAAAGTGAAATGTTAAGGGAAAGAACAAGGGCCAGAACCAGACTGATATTCAAGTATGGTCAGAATGATCAGACTGGAAATTTGGAACAATAACAAATATGCTAATGACTGTAGGAAAATGATAGAAGCAGACAAGAACAGATGGATAATTAAAGCAGATGGATGGGGACTCTTAATAAATAACTAAAAGGAAATGCTGGAGGGGAAGGGACAGAAACAGAAACAAAATGAAGGGTGCCCTTGATGGGCTCATTGATGAATTGAACAGAGCTGAATCAATAATCAGCAAGCTTGAGGAATTGTCAAAAGAAACTTTGAACACTGAAATGCAAAGTAGTAAGAGAATTTAAAAGTCAGGACAGAATTTTAACATGTGTGAAAGTGGAGCACATGTAGTGGATATATGAGTCAGGGCTATCCAGGAGAATAGAGCCACAATGATAAAGTGGGAATTGCTTATGAGATTATGAAGGCCAAGAAGTTCCGGATTCTACCATCGTCAAGCTAGAGAAACAGCAAGCCCAGCTGTGTAACTCAGTTTGCGTCCAAGGTTCTGAGAACCAGACTCACCAATGCTCCAGTCACAAAAGGAAGAAGGTGATGGATTTACCAAATCCAAAGAAAAAGAATTCTCATTTTCTAGATTCTTTTGCTCT